TTTTTGTTCTAATGATTGTAGATTGTTGCTTTGAATAATCTTGGGGGTGTTAATATGTTTTTGTTTGGTGATTACTTAAGTTTGGTGTTGAGATTTGGCTGGTCTTTGCTTCACAATTTAGGATAACCACCAAATTTTATATTTTAAGCCTACCTTAACCCTTCTTGCCTTACGTTAAAACCTTGGGGAAGACCTTTGGACCTAGGAGTTGAGTCTTTCATCGGTGGAGGGAATCATTGGTTGTAGACTAAGGAAAGGGGATGCGAAATCAAGATGTCGAGTAGCCCAAAAATTTGATCCTTTTCCGGTTTCTTCGCGGAATCTATGAGATGCTCACTAAGAGGAGACATGAGATTAGTAGGGGGAACGCGATAAGACCGTTTGGGATGAAAGTGGAATGTGATAACTAGTTCCTATGCTTAGCATATTTATGTTTCAATCAACCTTAGGTATCTTATAACGTGCATACCATAATTCTCTTTAGAAAGGTTGTTATTCATTTGAATTATAGTCTCTTTGTAAAGTCCATTTCGTAAGATTTTGTTTCCTTTTTCCTCTTTCTTTTCCTTCTCTGGTTTGCCTCTTGGGGGTTTGGTGGAGAGTTATGGGTAAACTTTTAGGATACCCTTACGAGAGCATCACTCGTCCTCTAGAGCGATCTAGGGGTTTAAATGGCTTGTTGTAGCTAAAAACAACCGTGATTCCTACGACAGTGAGTCTTAGTGTAAATTCTCGCCCCTCTTTTTCTTTTTGCTTCGAATAAGCCCTTCTTATTCCTTTTAGCCTTTGTTTTGCTCGGGACGAGAAAAATTCTAGCTTGGGGGAATTTGATGAGTGTCATTTATGGCACTCATAGGGTAGTCTTTTAGGGTTATTTCTTTCCCCTTTTCATGCTTTCTTCTCTTATTTTTGGTCCATTTTCCTTTAGTTTCTCTTTTTCCTCTTTTCTTTATGATTCTCGTGTTTTTATCGTGTTTTCCTTTATTTGTGTCTTTTTTCCCTTTTATTTCCTTTCTTTGTGTACTTGTGTTGGTATTGTGAGAATCACTTTGGCAAAGGATTCAATTTGGGACTTTAATGATCAAGCAAGGAAGAAGCATTTGGCTAGAGAGGGCTTAGAGAGGGCTTGGAGAGGCCTTGGAGAGGTTTCCAAGGCAAATCCAGCAGGCCGCGGGCGCGGGCCCATGTTACTCAAAATTGCCAAAACTTGGCAGGAACTTGCCGCAGTTGCCCCGCAGGCTCTCCGCGGGCGCAAGTAAAATGGAGAGGCCGCTCCATTCAGAGAGACCGCAGCCCCCTGATCAGGCTTTGGGTGCAGGGGATTAGCCGCGGGCGAGGATCTCTGTTGCCGGGGCGCGGGGACTGACCAGATAGCCCGCGGAGGGTTCCATACCCATTTTTCCGCGGGCGCGGGTCTATCGAGAGAGGGCGCGGGAGCTGCCAATTTCTTCTTTGCTTATAAATAAAATTGTATTTCCTTTTCGAGGGGG